GTTTTTTTTGGGGGGGGGGGGGGGGGGAGGGGGGGCGTACCAAAAGACACGTGGCAGCCCTTATAGCGGAGGAATTTTAAGTAGATTTAACCAACGCATAGGACAGATACAAAGGAATGTTGATTACGCCGCACCATTTGATTTAGGCAAAATTTAAATAAATTGGGTTTTTGAAACAGGTTTTGAGAAACTTAAATGTTCGTATATAGCGCCATTGGGGGGGGGGGCGTCTAGCCGGTTACAGAAACTTTTAGATCAAAGGCTAATAAATATTTATTGCCCCCACTTTAAGGGGGTGTCACAAATGTATTTGTCATGACCATAAAACACTCGACTCGTGTGAGTCCGTGCCGACCCCAGGGCTTTGGACATCACCACCAACCCCCCTCCCCACTTTTTTTTTTTCGGGGCCTTTAGAAGTTGATAGGTTATATATTTAAGTAAATAGCAAATGCGTATTGACACGAGAGGGCCAACGGGCTCAACTGCTTATTAGTAAGGTTCTGCCTACCTGAAGAAAAATAGCCCTCCTTTAAAAGTCAGGTTATGGACTGCTTTCCCTTAGATAAGCGGATTGACGTCAGAGGGCTCAACGTCTGTGAATAAACTGCAGTCAATCTTTTGTGTCGTATGTCAACAGAACGGACCCCCCTCATTACACTGAAAACGGGAGGAGTGTGTTTCAATGCAACAAACTAAACGAAATAAAATGGCAACACACATGATGGATGTCGTTATATGCCATGCTATTGGGTGTTTCAAGTACATCATTGGTATATTAGTTTAGTGGCGTTTACATTACATCGTGAATTGTTAAAACACATTCATACAAATCATCTGGCCGGAATAAACGCTATTTAAATATCGCTACGTTGGCCCATATTTTATACACAGCAATGGGTCTGTCACAAGATTGAACAAGAAAGTTAACACCGCAGTAACAGTCAACCTATTCCAGGACGATGTACAAAAAATGTATGGCAACAAATCTGTTGCGGTGCATAAACCCAACTTTATTTAGTCATGACAGAAACTGGAAATGTACGATGCAATTGCAATGATTACGTGCAGATAGATAGGATTACGTGCAGATAGATAGGATTACGTGCAGATAGATAGGATTACGTGCAGATAGATAGGATTACGTGCAGATAGATAGGATTACATGAAGAATGCAAGAGCTGCCACGTTGTCAGAGCTAACACTTAATACATGGTGTTGGAAACTCACCATCCCACTAGTGAGTTGCCATCTGTACCTGCTGAAGTTTGTACAAAGTACCCGGTATACTTTTATACAACTCATCATTATATTTCATCACAAAATCTTGTAATACTTTGTTATTATAAAGCAAAGTGTTGGCATATGGCCAAGGCGCTAATGTTTAAATTGCCAGTGCTTCTTGTATCTCGATTGTATGCACTTTTTTTTTTAAATTGTCGGAAATTGAATTTTAGCAGCAAATACCCACACCACCACCTCCACCAGGTATTTACAATGACATTCTCACTACCTCTGGCATCAAGGACGTATTTACAATGACATTCTCACTACCTCAGGCATCAATGACGTATTTACAATGACATTCTCACTATAATCTCTGGCATCAATGACGTATTTACAATGACATTCTTACTACCTCAGGGATCAATGACGTATTTACAATGACATTCTCAATACCTCAGGCATCAATGACGTATTTACAATGACATTCTCACTACCTCTGGCATCAATGACGTATTTACAATGACATTATTACTACCTCAGGCATCAATGATGTATTTACAAATGACATTCTCACTACCTCGGGCATCAAGGACATATTTAGAATGACATTCTCACTATCTCAGGCATCAATGATGTATTTACAATGACTTTCCCACTATCTCAGGCAACAATGATGTATTTACAATGACATTCTCACTATCTCAGGCACCAATGATGTATTTACAATGACATTCTCCCTATCTCAGGCATCAATGATGTATTTACAATGACATTCTCACTATCTCAGGCACCAATGATGTATTTACAATGACATTCTCCCTATCTCAGGCATCAAGGATGTATTTACAATGACATTCTCACTATCTCAGGCATCAATGTTTCAGACAAGGGCAGTGATAAGACTTGGAGGATGAAATAAGATTTATTCCTACTGTAGTAGAGGGTTGCCTCAGGGCAGCATTTCCCAAATGCTGGGTTGCGACCCGGTAACGAGTCACAGAAGCAAAATTACCATGTCGCCGAACAAAGAAAAAAACGTTAGGTTAGATTATTGTGACATACGCATAACAAATGTTTCTTAAGTTTGATTTCTGTACAGTCTTGTATGAGCAAATGCTTTATTTTAATAATCAGCTAAATGAAATGTCAATTTGACATGTCAAGGGATGGTATTTATTGCATTGTGTAAAAATAATTATTGAACCATAAGTTATTACATCTTTGGCGTACCAGGCAGCGTCTTTTGGGGAAAAATAATTATTTATCCCATAATTTATCACAGCTGTGACTTAATGTTTTCGTATGAATGGATGGTGAACTTATTTTCTGTACCCCACTGAAAACGATTGAGAACCACTGTAATACCAGTACACCAAAGTGACAAAAGTCAAATCACTGCAAAAGACACAACTCTTTCTTCAAGTCTTCTCAGGAAGGTACCACCCCAAAGGTACACACAGGTTTACAAAAGAAGGTTGTGGCAATTTCAAACTTATCTATCTTTTTATTCAACTTACCATCTATGCTAGAGAAATACTTTAGATGCCTTGTTTTTTAAATTGTTATAATTGTGCAATGTTGTCTTGGCTAAAATATGTATTTATTGATGTGCTGAAAAGGAATACCAACATTGTAATAAAGAACCATTTCCATTGGGACCAATAAAAGAATCTTATCTAATCAAGGGATTTTATTTTAATTTTTTAAAAATTATACTTTAAAAATTTGTATATGCACCATGATTATGAACATCTTTGGATTTAGTAAATCTGTTAATTCCCTTGATTGAAGAGGTTATGATAGCTGAAAGAACTGTTACCACGGAGCCACACATAACATAGATAGCATTAACATTTCCATTTAACCAAAGTCAGTTCAACATTTGAGTCAAATTTGAGGAAACTTAAACTTTTCTTTTTGACCATCCATTATCATTGAGAATTTTGTTGTTAAATTCAACTAATTTACTTGAAAGCTATTTATAGATTTGCCCTTAACATGGCAGAAAAGTTGATATAGTACAACTCAAAACATGATATAATAAATTCCAAAACTAAGAAGAGGAGCTGATATACATGAATTTTATTCCCCGTTCAGTGTGTGTCCACTCAGAATGATAAGCACCATAATAAATTATCTGTTTTTGCCGACATTTCTGAAGATCTTGGATTTATGCATCTGTTTCTGGTTCTTGTAGCCACCACCTGGTGCCCTCCCTTGACGAGCCTGGGTCTTGTTGTTGATGACATCTGGAAACTGAGTCAAGGAAACCACAAGGTCTTGGTGTTGGGTAATTTAATTTTAACAAAGTTGGTTCCCATCAACCTAGCTTTATACATATCAGTTAGAAAATGCAAGATTTAGTTAGGCAATCATTGTTAGTAATTAAATGAATGAAATACAAGCAAGACATAAAGGAACTCCCCCTCAAACCAGTTCCAAATGTTCTAACTCCAACAGATAAACTAAGAGTAAAAACCAGCAGACTGAAGAAACTCAACTTAAACTATTTTCAAACATCTTTTGCTATTTCTGTCATCATGATCTTAGAACCAAAATAGTACTCTGCAAATGAAAGATTAAATTCATACAGACCTTTTTTCTCTCTTTCATTTACTATTTAAAATTAGATGTCAAGACGGAGTAACAGAAGAAACATTTGCAGGATTAGCCTATGTATGGAAAATACTGCTTAAATGGCATTTTATAAAATATCATAGTTGCACCATAAAATAAAAGGATACGTAAATCCACATATGGGGCTACAGCAAACCCAAAAGACTTTGCAGACTTTGTAATATCCAGCTTGGATACATCAAAGATAGCTTTCTGTTTATGAGATGCATAAGCTCGAATATAAGCTTTGAACCCTTCTTGTGCAGTCTTGTGGAGGTAATAGTTCTTACTGATGAGTTTCTCCAACTGAAATGAAGACAAATACAAATTGACTAAATTATTATTTCTCTATACACAGTGGAGCCCGGCTATATTGCAAATTCATATATGATGTGGTCGTGACATGACTCCCAAAATTTCGTAAATTCATTTACACATAGTTTACTAACAAGAAGAAATGAAAAGTCAGGTTTAAACAAAATAATTTTTAAAAAAAAAACTATTTCCTTTCTTTCCAAAAAATCCCATCACCATTGCCAGCAAATATCATCAAACTATTACAACCCATTGTTAACACCATTAGATTTGATGGACCCCAATTAGAATGATATAGTGGATGTCAAGGTCAGACCATGTGATGTCAGTGTCTAATTTTGTCAGGGAGTGATAGTGTTTTTCCTTTAGTGACTTCCCTTATATTGCACCAATTTTACTCAGCCAAGAATGATGTATGAGCTATGACATGGGATGTGTAATTATTGTTGTGAGCAACAAGAAGCAATTTTTTTTAAGGTGTGAGTAATTGGTTCTTTGAGCTGAGTACATCTTCGTATGGTGAACAGGAGTTTCCTTTCTTCTACTGTGAACACCATTATCACTGGTTTGTCATTACTCTGCCCTATGTTTAACACAGTATATCAATAATTAAAGAACACTGATTTTTGAAAGCATCTCATGTTTTTTTAAAATTGTAACTGGTTTACTACGCATGAGTTTAGTAGGGGCAATGAGAAAGCAACAGATTTCTAGACTCTAAAATTGTTTTGGTGGCCATACGGAGGGTACCTACTCCTAGACGACTATCCACCACAGTGGGGTCTCACTGATAATTAGGAAAACAATTGTTTGACCGGTTAAATTTTGAAATCTTTAAAAGCTGACAAAAGGGGAACGAAATTCGTGATAAGCTGAATACTGGTACAGCAAATGTTTAAAAGATAAAGCAAACTAGAAATGTTGATCAACAGTAAAGATGTTACTAAGCACTATTCTACTATTACAAAGATGGGATTATGAATTATATAGCATACTTGTGGCTGAATGTTGGAAACTTTATTCCACTGAAATTGGAATTCATTGACTTGCACCTTGGCCATGCGTAGGTAACGTAGGAAAGCCAGCTCTTGCGGGTTGAGGAATAGTAATGCATTTCCTCTACCACCTTCTCCACGGGCTGTTCTACCAACACGATGAATGTACTCCTGACAAAATAAAAATTTGATTTACAATCAGGCATAAAAAAAAAAAGTGTCCATGCCTAATATCATCAGCACTGCACTTCCACCACCCAGCATTTCAAGATTTACACCTAAACCATCTACCAAAGTATATGTAAATTACTCACCAAGGCCGCAGGACACATGCCCAAATGGCCAGTAGATCTCTATGACGATAACTACAACACAAACACAGGAGATTTATGTCTTAAACCAAAAAAGCATAAACTAACAAAAAACTCTAATAGATTTAAACTCACCTTTGGATCATCAGGGGGATCATATTGCACAATCCAATCTACTTGGGGAATATCCAGACCTCTTGCTGCCACATCTGTGCAGAGCAAGATGCCGCTATCAGCATTACAGAACTGAAAGAATGTCTGTGTCCTTTTTGCTTGCTTCTGCTTTCCCTGATAGAAAAAAATAATTGTAAATTAATTTAAGAAGTACAAACACTATCACCATCAAGAACATTTTTCTGTTGGTCAAGTCGTTTTTACAATTTTTATATAATTGTCAAAAATCCCAGACTATATGAATTCAGAGACCCTTACAAGTATTCATTTTTTTCTGAGAGAACATTGGACAAGGTATATTTGGGTATGAAAATTTTAATTTATATATGTAGATATCCACATTTACAGGGTAAGTAAAATTTTACTATTAAACTTCTGAATTATGATGTTGATATTGACCTTGATTGACAGAGGGAATAAAATTCAACCCACCCAAAATACTCCATAAATTGTTCAAACCATGAAGTTTTTGAGAAAAATTTCAAGTTATAGACTAGTTACGCATATAGAAAATTGTAATATTTGTGAATTTTTGTATTCACTACCTTCAAATTTCTGTCATAAAAAATATAAGGAGAAAGGCAGGAAATGAGTTCAAAAAATCCTTTTCAGTTGAAGTTATTAAATCCATTTTTTAAATTAATTAATACTCCAGACTATGCACAAAGATAAATGTCTTTGAAATCCCATCTTTGTCTTTTTCAGTTTGATTTCCAACTTTACCCAAATGAATGTCTGCAACTATGCGACTAAGCTTAGGGCTAAAATTGTCAATAACTTGACTATTTTTTCGCTACCACTGCTAGAGCTAATATTATCATTACCAGCATTTGGAATATCTCTGACATCATTGCTTTCATTTTAATCTATTTGAAATAATTCCAATAAAGAAATTCCGTGTTGATTTTGCAATAAAGAGGGGAACCCTCTCCGACATAAGACATTATTGGAGACAAATTTTATTTTTAAATTTCACATTCGATGAATCACAAAATAATCCCTGATAAAAGCATGTTAACACACAGATAGAAATGTAAATAGGAAGCAAACTTATTAATATAGAGTGATTTCCCCTTATCAAACATACATTAATATTTTGCCAGCTGGCGGTTAAATCCCCACAGAAAGGGGTATAAGGGCTGATGACCCTGTAACTGTATATTAGAGAGTAACAGGTAGGATGATACAAAAAACTCAGTTCAAGGTATATACTTAATATATACACTCTCCTGTTTTATTTTTGCATTTGAATAATCATTTGAAAAACTATAAGTGGTACAATTAGTGCAATAGATAAAACAATAAAATGGTCATCCCTATTAAATCTTACATGAATGCACATAACAGTGAGGTCTATGTAGTTAAGAAGCTCGCTGTAGAATCTGACAGCCATACAGGAAGAAAGAAAAACCATAATCTTCCGTTTCTTGTTCTTCTTCAAAAATGTAAAGAGAAGCAAGAACCTTTTATCTGGCTCACAGACCACATAGCCCTGTGAAGAAATATATATATATATATATATATATAAGCTTTTACCCACAAAAATAAAGTGTGTATAAGATAAACAGACAAATGTTTTGAAGTATTTGATATATCAAGGGGATAAGCACAACAAGCAAATGTAGATTTTATCCCTGAACCACAATAACATACACCAAGCTATAAAAATATCAAATAAACACAACTTAATTTTCCAAACTAGATAAGATATAAAGTCAGTGAAAGATTGTTGAAGTTTGATTCCTGAAATATATATATATATAATAATGGATGTTGTAGTGAATAGTTCCAGAAAGCCTTGTTCAAATGTGTAACATCATGTACTACTACTAATTATTTTAACAGCATTAAGATATATGTGTACATTTATATATATTTTGAAAATTTATAATTTTATCTATCTCTTATATTTATTTTGCGTCTGGTGTGTCCTGCTTCCTTTTCACAACCCACCATCCTTCAACTCAACATGTTTAATATTAACTTGAAAGTACTGAGTGGAAAAAAAGAGATGTCACACAGCGAGCGTCATAAATGACACTTGAACTCAGGTAAAAAGGTTGATTTTTTTAACGTTCTATTATATTAATCAGTAAAGAGCCATGGTTACAGTGTAGTACCGTCTCTGTCTGTAGGGGAATTGTTTTAAGGCACGCAAATAAGGTGTTGGACTGTCTGTAAGCCTATTGTTTATGGAATATGATAACTTAACTCTTTTTTTTGTAAGCCTTGGACCCACAGGGTATTTTCTCAAAATACCCAGACCGGCGTGTAAAAAAACTACATCCGGTTTAACTCTATTAAATTTAAATGTATATTATAAACACATTATATACATGTATTTAATTTTTCAGACTATTTACCATCACTGATGTTATCACAAAGTCAGAGAAAAAATGAACCTCTCATAGCTGATAAAAAAGGTTACGTTAACTGTGTATATATCCAGGTTATAAGCAGCAAGAGCATATTTTCAAATGCCATGGAGTTCTGCTTATTGGTACAGTTTTAGTTAAATAAGTTGTACCGGTTGCCGTTAGGCAGAATATTGTGACTGTACAATGAGCTCAATTTATATGGGATTTAAGGTACAGCAAACTGTAAAGAGATAATTTACTGAACCTAATAAATGAGATTCAAATGTATTAATTTATTTATAGATATACAAACCTGCTCCAAGCCTTCAACAGTAGCTTCTTGTTTTTTATCATCAACACCCACATAAAATGGCTCCTTCTTAAGAGAAATTCTGGCCAAGTCTTCAGTCTTTCTTGTTGGTGTGGCAGAAAACAGCATTGTTTGACGCTTTTCTAGTTTTAAGGGAAAGTATCATAAATTTAAAATAGACTATTTTGAAACATCTACCGTTTATTCCCCTTGCAAAATAAGAACAAATTTTATTTTATCATCCCATTTTTATTTGCCTTTTTTTCTTTTAGAGATTTTTGCTAGACTTACTTGGCAACAATTTAATAATTTGTTTCATTTCCTCTTCAAAACCCATGTCTAGAATTCTGTCTGCTTCATCAATAATAAGACATTGGAGATTCTTGTAAAGGAAATCTTTTGTATTCTTAAGAAAAAAAATTTTAGACAAATTATTGACATTAAAAATACAAAAATGTATAATATGAGAATAAAAAGATTAATTTAATAGCATGCTTGAATATGCCCTGTTATTTTATTCTTTTTAAAATATCCAACATTACCACAACACAATCTGAGTAACGTCATATAACTTCCTTTAGAATTAGTCTAGTAAACTGTGTACTATTCCCCTAATTTTCAATACATAGTATAAAAAAATAACTTATTATTTGATAATTTTTAACTTCTATAACAAACTACCTGTAAATGATCCAGTAAGCGCCCAGGTGTTGCTACTAAAATATTGATCCCTTTAGTTAATTTCTTGGCCTCGTCACTACGGTTGGTTCCACCCATAACTAGGCCGTATGTATGGTGATGGTATTTCAGTAGTTCTTTTAAAACTCCAAATGTCTGAGGATATTTTACAAATTATACATGGGACATATAATAATTCCTAAAGAGTGCAAACAAACTAACCAATAAATTTTTTTGCTATATAATTACTGTGTGCATGTAATGTAACTTAATTTATATACCTGCATAGACAGTTCTCTTGTGGGAGAAATTATAATAACACCAGTGCCATTACGAGGCATGAAGTGACATTTGTTGACCAGCTCAATAGCCGGTATAAGGAAAGCTAGAGTTTTACCACTTCCAGTTTTAGCTGCTCCCATCAAATCCCTTAGAGAGAAAGAGGAAAAAAAACCATTAGCAATTCTCCTATTTCAAAAACCAAAAATTAAAAAATTTAATTTTAAAAAAATTGTAAAAAGGGATGGATTATTTTACAAGAACAGATAGATAAATAAAAATACTTCAGCTTGAAACACACCTTCCCTCTAAAAGATAAGGTATGGATTTATGTTGAATCTCTGTCATGTGTGTAAAGCCCATTTCTGCAACTCCTTGTAAGGTTAAATCACTGACTTTTCCAGCTAGTGAAGCAAATGAAGAGTCACCAAGGACACTAGTCCCATTTTCTTCTGCAGGTGGATCTTCATTCATAGATACTTCTTCATCACTACCTTCCTCTTTTTCCTCCTCTCCATCTCCTTCTTCAGCACTTTCCTTTTCTTTCCCTGTTTCTTCATCACCTTCAATAAAAATGAAAAGCTCTAAGTTGATAAATTATGTTAAAATATACTAAAATTAATACAATGAAAAGCACATATAATGTAAACCCCATGTCAATGGGAGAAGGCATGCGGTAACAGAAACAATGCAAATCAAAGTGGACATTTTTGGCAAGCTTCAATGGTCATCAATGTTTGAAAACCTTAAAATATTGTGGGATACTATTTCAAAATTAGAAAAAAACATTGCAAACTTTATAAAGCCCTTATATTTTGATAAAAATCAATCATCTTTGCGTTAACAATCATACACTAAATCATGTATTTGATATCACTTTAAATCCAACTAAAACTGGATCAGATTGCAAAGTGGTACTCAGTAATACTAACTTTTGGCCATAGTGAACTTTGAAGAAAACCATGCACACTTTTTACACTTTTAATTATAAAGTATTTGTGATACACTTGCTTTCATCAAATATTAGGGAGTTATACTACTAAAACTTCAACATTCATCTTAATTAGCACCTAAATAATGAAGAAGAAGAAACCCACTCCAGTATACAGATGGTTGTGAATGTGATGTTGAAAATAGATTTGAGATGTCAGTCTGGCCAACTATATGGGGCTTGCAAACATAGGGTAAAAAGAGAATGTGTTTGGCTAATCCTTCCCCTTGCCCTAGATCATTATGTACATCTTGGACAACAAGGCTAATCAGGGTCATTATTTTGTTTAATAAATTAAAGATTTTGGGTGCACCTTTTGAGTGAAACTTGCACCTATATTTAACGATGTGATCAAATAGTATGTCACCAGCAAATAGATTTGAATATTATACTGGCCTCACCTATAGTATAGTAGGAGATTTTGACTATTTTAAGTCTAGTTACATCAACTAGGGTAGTTTTTGAGCTTTGAATATTTAAAATGCAAGGTCATTTGTTCTATTTTTCTATGAACTGCACCTTCACATTTTGTGACCAAGTTCTAATATCTATACAAGCAAAATGTTCATATTAATTACGAAAAAAAATGTAGGCCTAATTATTTTGATAAATCCTTCAAAAATATAATATGAATGGTAAACATTCGGAAAGTTACATAATTCTGTAGGCTTAAAAATATTTTTTGGTATTGAAGAGGGCAGTGCCAGCATGGCAAAAAAATGGTATCATGTACAGTCTAATTTAAAAGGTGCAGATCTCTAGTAAATATTCCTAGCTCAATGAATTTACTGCCAATAAATCAAACATAGACATAGGCCATGGCAGAGTGCAAAATTTATATGGGAATGTAGATCAAGAAAAAGAGGCCTTTTATATCATAAGGGATTGATAAGAGTCAAAGATTGTAATTATAAAGAAAAAGTGCTTAAAATTGATAAAATAAAAATAAGCTTTGCAAATAAAAATGCTCAGTATCTTCAAGCCCTGACCCTCATTCCCAATACAAATTTAGAAGAAGTTTCCTTTACTTTATCAAAGAACCTATGTGGCTACCATAACTAACCTGAAATCGCAGACTCATTCAACAAGGCTTTTGCAGCAGCAAGCTCAGCTTTCAGTTTTCTCCTCCTCTTTTTTAATTTTGTTAGCTCTGATAATAAAATGTAAAAATTATTTTTAAAAATGGTAACATAAACATTCAATCTGGGTACAATTTGAGCATTGTAAATTAAATGCCGTTGACGTTAGGCCAGTGATAGTTTTTCATTGTGATTGGCCTATGGGTACTATAGATTATAGTTTATTGTTGTATGGAATATGATTAATTCTCTCTCACAGTGACTGGGCTTGAACTTATCACTGTTTCAGTATTTTTAATCGAATTAGTGTTTGTTATTCTTCCAAGTTCACTCTAAAACATAAGTTATCCCTGTTAAATAGTGATAATAATTGAATATTTCTTGGCAACTTCTGCCATTAAAAAGGGGGCATGGTCACATCCATCGGAATTGGGTTAAGGGAACGGCATAACATGCTGCGAACGCATGGAAACATGGCGTCTCTTGTTTAACTCACATAGTGCTGTGAAAATTGGCATACATGTAGATCAATGTATGCCAGACATGCATAAAAAATATGGCCATAACATATCCTTAACTTCGACTTAATCTTAATTATGAAAGTTGCCTAATATTCACCAAGGATTTCCTAAAACTTGACTGGTTGTAAATGAAAAAGAAATTTAGGCCTAATCTATAAAAACATAAGCCAAGTTTTCCTCTAAAGCGAAAGATCGGAAAAGAACACAATCAATTGTGGGTTATAGTAATTACTTTATGAATGAAATAGCACCAACATCAAAAAAAAATTTTAAAAGGCCCATTTCCTATAAAAATTTTAGTAGTCTCCTTTGCTTTACCGAAGTACCTATAAGTATAACTGTTTACTTTATATTATTAAAATTACAAGCAATAATTAGTCTGCAAACAATTAGATGTAAACCAATAATCAGTGACTATTACTATTAGGCTGGTAGCCGGGTACTTTCAAACAAAAGTAAATGATGACTATTTGACCTTTAGGAGTGCCGTTAGGAGGATTGCCAATACTTGTCCAGGCTAATGCAAAGAATGTCATGTGATACGTCATGGCACCAATTGTCTGCATTTACCTCTGGCTAATGCAGAGAATTGGTGCCATGATGTCATTAAGGATACATTTAGGGTTCAGGTTAAGTTTAGGGATACATTTTTTAGGGTTAAAGTTAGGTTTAGTAACAGTGAATTATAAAAGTTCACGGGTCGTGACAACCAAGATGGCGGCCGTATGATATGTCATGGCACTAATTGTCTGCATTTACCCTTGTCCTATGCTGCTGCCGGTATAAATAATTAAGTTTCTAAATTATTTTTTGGAGGGTTTTATTTTAGTTCCATCAGTATCAGGTAAATAGGCAGTTTTTAATTTCAACACTTAATCATGTTCACTCGTCAATGGCATTTATTTATTGCGCTAAATTATGAGATTATCCACAATAACTTAATTATTAATAAGTTAGTCTGTGCTTCTTTCTATTTCAGATGGTTAATGACTTCGCCTTGGGTGACCAAACGAACTGTCACAACGGGATTATCCCGTTTTTTTCAAGATGGTACCCGGTGTCCCGAAAAGTCTCTTGGGATGCCTAAATGTCCCGTTTTTAAAACCAAACACATTTCAAATCAATAAAACTTCCTAATTTATAATATGACTTCAAGTAATATTTTGGCTAGCTTTGTTTTTGTAGCCAGTGCCAGTAGTGATGTGGGCTCGCGTGATGGATGCACTGTTCCCCTCTACCATGGCTGTGTAAATGACAGTGTCCCTGCCATATCTTTTATATGTATAGCGAATGACAAGAGACTTGAAGCCGTGAGGAGGATGTAACTGCGCAAAAACCAATTTTGATTCCGCTACCGCTACGTTTAATGAAGTGAAGGTAAATTTAAAAGATTTCTAGGTCTCAAAATAGTTAAAATGAACATATATCAAAAAACAGTTTCTGGCGGAGGCCCCTAATCCCCTCTTTGGTTATCTACCATTTGAGCGTCGGCCAAGAAAAAATCCAGCTGTTCCGGTTGGAAGGGCTAATTAAACAACTATTTTTATATTATTTTTAATGAAATTGGTTGTACGTATTCATTCCCATAATAATAGACAATTTTTTTAAAATAGAAAAACTATAACAATTTTTTTGAAATAGAATATAATGTGTGAAAATGGAATTATGCATAATTATCCCCCAAGTTGACAGTGAAGTTTAAAAAAATATAATTTCCACGAAAACGGTTGTGGTACATGAATCCACGTAAATATGAAGGGGAAAGATCACCGGCACGTCTTGTGCCAAACTGTCTTTTCAGTTTATGCTTTCTGAGCATTCACTTTTTCCACATTCTGTGTGTGGACATCCACGTCACCTGGATCAAAAAAAATAATTGTTGTCTCTTTTTCTTCCTGGCATATCGGTAGCTTGGCAGTAATAAGTATTTAAATGTATTAGTATTGTGCTATATAACTTTATAGCCTCTATACTTGATACTTCGATAAAACAAGGGAGACTACTACGTTTTGTGTATCAGAAATGGGCGTCGGCGCTGAAAAATCTGAGTTTTTAATTTCCCGATGTGTGTGTCTATTTATTATTAAATTAGTTCTTTCGACATATATTTGAGTTCCGTTTCCGGCCTTATAATTTGGAAGACATCTTGGCCTACATTTCCATCCAGCTATTTTGCTTTTTCAATCGACCTTCATTTTGAAAATCGTTGGTATATATAAGGCATCTTCGAATACAAATTTTTTTGTGAAATAAAAGGAACATGTCTTTCATATTAAATCGAGTAAGGCATTAGATATTGATATATATCTGTGCCAATTCTTATTGATTTAGGTCGTGTCCCACGTTCGCTACGCTTCTCCCAGTGACCCATATCACCATAAGGGGGCTCAGCCTTATTTCGACATGGCGTGGGCCACGCCCCCTTTTTAATGGCGGAAGTTGCTGATACCCACAAAATGTTTAATTATTACCACTATACATATAAAAATATTTGATAACTTGTGTTTCAGTTTCAGAATGCATTTTGAAGACATTTAAACTGGAATGTTTTAATTTGAGCTTTAAAAACCCTGTAGTAGAGTCCATATTATAAATGATCAGAATTTTCCGTGTGCAACAAACCTCCTTGGGTATGTCCCGTTTTTTTTTCAGTTCATGATTTGGTAACCTAGCCGAGGTTAACCTACTACTAACCACTAGTACTAGCCTAACTTAACTGGACAAAATAGCAAGTTTTTTTATAGAACAAACAGCATCGAGGTATGACAGGAGATAAACTGTCTAATAGTTAAATTATTAAGGCAATGAATTCCTATTATACTATTTTGATATTACCAGCTCCTTCGACGTTTCCTTCAGCTAGAGTAGCTTTAATTTGTTTTAGCTGTAATCGCACGTTTCTTATGGTATCAGCCATGTTGTTTTATTGAACATTATAAGCAGCTATCAGGACATCGTTCGTACTTCATAGTGCTAAGAATTAAGAAAATAATGATACCAAAATTTAGATTAAATATCTTTTAATTTCATACAACATTTAATAAAATATTTTTAGCACCTGAAAATCAATGATTAAGAATTATTTAATCAAAATCATCATGTAATTTAGGCTGATATCATAAAATTTTACAAGTAAATATTCCTTTTAGAATCTCTTTTACAAAATATTTAGTACGGAGCAGTAACCATTTAAAATGACCATTGTTTCATAAAAAGGAAACATTTTTATTTATTTTTTAACGAAAAAAATAAATATCAATTTAATAAATATTAAATAGAGTAATATAAATAGATTATTGTTGGTTGCAGTTAGATTCCTGCCAGTCCCACGATGTTTGTTTTGATTATATATGAATATATCAAACTTTTAAAGCCTATTCTTTTAGTTGATGGCTACATCAGTCACCAGTCCATCCAGGCCGCCACTCTGTGCAAAGAGAACAACATCATTCTCTATGCCCTGCCTGCCCATTCATCTCATGCAGCCCTAATGTGTGGGTATTTTCGAAACCATGAAGGTAGAATGGCGAAAAGCAGTGAAAAAACAAAATGAAGCTGAAATTATTACGAAACGTGCATTTGCAAATGTTTTTAAAGTAGCTTACCAGGCAACGGTTCAGAAAAGTCTTGCTCAACAAGCATTTAAAATCAACGGGTTATATCCATTAGACCTAACAAATATTAACTGGCAGAAAGTACTGCACAGCATGTCCATGGAGGTTGGAAATCAGACACATATTGTGTCTGACAGGGCAGCAACACCCCAACATCAGCCTGCAGCCGGACAAGACACACCAGCTTTGCTATCTCCATCAGATGCCGTCATCGTAGATGCCCTCTCCACAAAATCCATTTAGATCTACATCAGCCCCACATTTACTAGCCTCTCTCTCAGATGCTCATATACCAGCCCATGTGCCTTCTAGTTCTACATCAGAAGCAGAACCCCCATGTATTGCTGGCACAAGCACCTGCCCAGATGCTTCAGCTGAAATCGCTTCAAATTTTTAAAAATGTGTAATAATTTGTGCACATATTGGAGAGTCAAACTTAAGCGTATATTATGAAAGGCTTGAAGAGGTTTATAACTGCGATGTCCCGTTGTACCGGTTATGGAAGCTATACCATGGGAACATTCTTATGTACCATTCAAAATCAAGCAGTCAATACCCTCCACCTAATGTTCAAAAGGATCCGCTATCATGGCCTGTTCTTAAATAGAGCTCTCTGAGACGAAGAACACAAAAGCTCTCACCACTGATCAGTGGAAAAGAATTCATAGATCATTTAATAAAAAAGACCGGGCAGAAAAAGAAGAAGAAGAAAGAAAGGCCGTAAGAAAAATTGACCTAGAAAAAAAGAAACAAGAAAAATTAAAGGCTGTAGAAGAGAAAGCAAAAAGGAAGGAAGAGAAAATAAAATTACGAGAAGAACAAAAAAAAAAAGAAAAAAAAAGAGAAACAGTGGGACGAAGAGACACAACGGCGAAAATAAGACAGGCAGAGAAAAGAGGAAGAAAAAAGACAGCTGACAGCTAGAAAAAAAGAAACAAGAAAAAATAAAGGCAGAAGAAGAGAAAGCAAAAAGGAAGGAAGAGAAAAAAAAATTACGAGAAGAACAAAAAAAAAAAGAAAAAAAAAGAGAAACAGTGGGACGAAGAGACACAACGGCGAAAATAAGACAGGCAGAGAAAAGTGGAAGAAAAATGACAGCTGACAGCAGCGACGTACTGGCATATGGAAACCCGTGACGAACGGAGTAGTAAGAAAGGCCCGGAGACCCCCCACCCCGCCCCACACCGGAGATTGTAATAACTGCCCAAAGAGGCCCATGACGAATGCTCGTCGCGGGCCAGCACGTCCCTGGCTGACAGATAATTCAAAAGGGAAAGGCCCAGAAAAGAGAAAGACAAGCAAAATGCTTGATGACTGTGAAGCAGACACAAGACACAAGTATTGATGAGTCTGAAATGATTTTCGATGAAAAGTCGGAAGATGATTTTGATTTTTAAATATTTATTCTAGACTAGAGTATATTTCAGAATACAATTTTGTTTATTATTTAGAATTAAATAAAAATCAACCAGGAATGTCAAGTAAAACTGCAAGAGTTAGTCTATTTGTTTTAATGTGTGTAGTCTAGTCTATAGGTGTCATATTTATTGATATTTTGTATGCGTGTATCTGTGTCAGCTTTATTGATGTTCTTATTTGTGTTTTTGTCAGATTTACGGATCTTTTTATGTGTGTCTGTGTCAGATTAATTGATATTTGTATCTGTGTGAGTGTATTTGGGAGATCCCTATAAGCTTTAATATCACAACTGGTTTCATTGAGGGCACCTTTGTGGTTGCACTGAGGTTAGGTGGTTGCACGTAGGGCTAATCACTGGTTGTAGGTCGGGCAGGTGGCTGCTTAAGGGGCTACTGAGAAGTAAGCATTTCCCCCTATTATTATGCTAGTTACCTGTTTGAAATCTCTAAACACTGCCAAGTCAGTGATTTCGAAGCAGCCACTATGATAGTTTTTTTTTTTTTTCACTCATTAAAAAGTTGTGAGGAAGAGTTGACTCGTGGGGCATTGGGGCAAGTTACTCTATAAATTTTATTTCTGTTCCCTCCTTGGTTAAGAATGATTAAGGCTAACATGTGTACCGTTTTTTTACCCGTAAAGTAGCCTACGTCAGTGGCGTTGCTATAAGGGAGCGGCCGGAACCAGGTGACACCATATCAAGGGGTGACACCATATCAAGGGGTGACACCATATCAAGGGGTGACACCATATCAAGGGGTGACACCATATCAAGGGGTGACACCATATCAAGGGGTGACACCATATCAAGGGGTGACACCATATCAAGGGGTGACACCAAATGGAAAAATTGCATATTTACAGGGCCCACAATGGTCGGTCTAATCACCGAATTTTATAAAAAGATAACCCATGACACGTAAACTTACAACACATGCAGGCCCAACCAATCCTGAAGCGTGCTTTATTAAAAGTTAAGGGTTGATGTGTCAGAAATGAGGTGACCCTATAATTAGGTTAACGATTCAACGCCGATTGAAGTGTTCAGTAACTTTCGTAAATGACAGAAAGCTATATATTTATCTAAATTCTGAGAAATAAAGCTTTCCATTGATACCAAGAACGATGTGGTCGGGCCTACATTAATCGAATCGGTAAAAATAAATTTAAAAAAAATGAAAAATGACGCTTTTCCCATTAATAGGGATAATAAAATAATATTTTTCAAAATTTTCTAATATCGTTTAATAATTAATTAAAATTTTATTTTTAAAAACGATTTTTGAAACCAAATATATGGAAACCAAGAGATACCGAAAACTAAATAAATATTTTCGCCGAAGCACAGCTCCTTAATCAAAATTTGAGCACGAATGTCATATTTTTAGCTGCCACCTTTGTGTTTTGTATTTTGGAGTGTTGTTTTTCAACAGTCGTGAGTAATAACATGGTTTATTGTCTTGAACACAACGTAATTAAAGCATTTTTATTGTTCGCGATTATGCTATCATCTCGGCGTGCACACAGCTAATCGGCCTAGTGGCTACCAGGAGCAAAAAGCAACCAAAAAAAAAATATATGACTCGCTAAAATCACTACGCGATCCATGCTTGGATATGTCGAGAAACCAAAATTTGTTTTTTCACTGCTTTTCGCCATTCTGCCTTCATGGTTTCGAAAATACCCACATTAGGGCTGCATGAGATGAATGGGCAGGCAGGGCATAGAGATTTTGCTAAGAGAACTCACTGAATGGCTGTTTGAAATAATTTTTTTTTATAAATGTCTTGTGTTAAAATTGTTTTATTTTTGTGCTGAAAATGTATAATGCAATCAAAAAACATTTCCATTCATTTGGATCAATAAAAGAATCTTATCTTATCTTAAAAAGACGTTCCTCGGCCTACCATTGATACCGATTCCTCCGATACCGGCAGCAAGCATTCTATAGAACAGCAAATAGTGCAGAGATGGTTGCTAATAATGTAATTCAAACCAAGTTTTTTTTTAGATGTGATGGTTAAAGAGAAAAAGTGGAATATTTTATAAGATGCTTCTCTCTAGAATGTACCAGTTCCAGATTTTAGGTCTGAAATTATTAAAATAGGGAGTACCTCGTTTCAGAACAAGGACAGACTATTCAGCGTAGTGGCGGGGCAAAATGCGACATCTAAAGGAGATGTGCGTCTGCTAACTTAACAATGGTTCTACAGGATGATTTCAAATGGCAAGATAGGCCTACTGCGGCCATGGATGGCTTACTCACTCGTCAGTCAGAAAGTGTACTGTTTTGCTGCAGATCGTTTGCTGTTAATGTTACAGAAGCAACTTCCAAATGTGTTACTGGGCTTAATAAAAAGTGGAACCTGAGCCCAAAATTACAAACCATGAGGCATCGGAAGAGCACCTATGTGGCCTTGAACTATGGAAAACATTGGCAGCAGGACTTAGGCTACACATTACAATTAATGCCGACGAAAGTATTGCTGTGATAGAAAGGGAGAAGAGAAAGTAGAAGGACACCCTGAACAGCTAGGTTGCTCGACATCACATTCTTTCTTAAAAAACAAAATCTTGCATTTCGTGGCCACAACAAAGAGGAATGTTCATTGAATAGAGGAAACTTTCTTGAGATGGTTGAGATGCTATCTGTGACCCAGTGCTAACAGAGCACCTAATTTTATAGCCTAAAATAGTACGCCCCAAACGCACGTGCGGTATTTTTCAGAATTTCATTAGCGCAGTTATCGGGAATATTATTTTACTCGCTATTAAACTCATTACAGCTACACATTCGTAAATAGAGAGTTATTAGGTGTATCTTGTGTAACGCAATACTCGACAGGATCGAAAATAAATTCCTTTAAGAAATTGCAGAAGACATGGACATCTGATGCCTGTTATT